TGACGGGTAGGTTTAGTCATATTTATATATACAGTAACAACGTTAAGTCAACGGCGTTCATAAACGCGCTGAAAAGTGATTATGCGTCTTGATAGCGCGCCAAAAATGGAAATACGAATTGGCGTGTCATACAAACGCTACTTCATGAGATCAGTCTGAAACATCTGGAAACAGGTGTGGTGTTTTAAAGGTCCCCTGACATGAGGTTATTTTATTATTTTATAATGTTTCCTAGGTTGCCCTTATAGTGTTAGTATGTTCTTTACATTAAAAATAGTCATAATTTAGTAATAAATTAAAAGGCCTTTTTTGCTAGCCTGATTTTAGTGTCTGATTTGAACGCTCTGTTTGAAGGCCGCCCCCCTAAAACAATGGTAGGGGAAACACTGAACAGTATTGAATGATGTTGAGAGAAAGATTACCTGTCTGAACTTGAACAATTAGGCTACACATCAGAAATTGTTGCTTGGTAGCTCGATCGATTTATTTTTTGACTTTCATCGAGGCCAGTTCTGTGTTGGTCCAAGTTGAGGAAATAGTCGTAGGTAAAATGTTTGGACCATACAAAACTTTGGGAAGTTGTGTTGGCGGATTTCCAGAGAAAATACAATTAACCCATTGTTTCTTCAGAGACTCGGATGAAGGAATTAAAATGTACGTTTGTGTTCATTTGTACATCCGAACACTGATCAACTTCGCTATGCTTTGCTCGTTTGCAAGACATGATGAAAAACTAAACAAGACTCGAGGAAAAACTAAAATCGCACCTGCGGGTTCGTAATTCCTTTTCCTAGATCGTTTTCTCATGGGCGGGGCAAATTCTTTGTGCGCCCAAAGCAGAGAAAGGGGAGGTTACCATTCCTCCATGACGTCATAAAGAGGAGATTCTGAGCTGCAGAGAAGAGAAAGATAGCCAAAGCTCGGTTTACACCGATTGAAAATTCCTTGACACGAGTGGACCAAATACAGGCTAGGGGAACTAATATTAATTTTAAAAAACTTTAGAAAGTGAAAATTTCTTGTCAGGGGACCTTTAACTGTCACGAGATGACAGGGTACCCCATAAAGCTCTTCAGAGAAAAGAGCAGAGAAAAGCTCTTTCCATTGAGTTTAAGTCAGTGTATCTTCAAACCATGATGCCTTTTGTGTTGTTTGTAGTTTTTAAGAATTTCACACGTATGCAGAAATAGCAGCAGTATTGAGCACTTGAGCATGTCCAAATCTGCTCATGTAATCGTGTACTATGGGGTAAAAGGGGTAAGAGTAAAGAGAACTCTGTTCCCTCTGTACTAAATAGAAATGGGACCAAAGGTCTCGCTCTCTCTCTCTCTCTCTCCCCATGGAAACACTCTCATACGGACGGTCTCCATGGTGACAGGGGTTGTTCTCTCCACAGATATTGATTTGGTTTCACAGCGATACAGATGCTCAGACATGCACGTCCACCAGACGTCCATATCTATGCATGTTTCAGAGCTGCTTGTGGTCTTGTGGAATTTCCAGCGTGGCAGTGGACGTGTCAGGGAGATTTCAGAGCATGCATTTATAATATCAAACTACATTTATATTTTCTGATGATGGTTTGAGTAATGCTTGGCTGGTCTCTTAACAGCTCCCTAAACAAGAGGAGTTGTGCCTCCTGCGTTATCAGACACCGCTGCTGAATGTTCAACACTGGCTAAAGCAGGCTGGTAGCTTGAGTTGTGTAGAATAAGGCTGGATATTTGTGGCTCTGTAAATGTTATGGTTAGATGTTTGACTGTGCCGTGTACTGGACAGGTGAGCCCAGGCTCGGCACGCACCGAATGCTTTCACTACACCGATTCTAGGCTGCCAAACATCATTGACTGGTCAAAATCATTGACTGAAACTGTGAGGTCTAATATTGGCACTGCTGCAATGGTGCAGTTGGACTGGTTGAGCGTCTGTTTCATGAAAAGATGAAAAGATTTCAGTGTGGCTGAAGCTGTAGGTATACAGATATCACGTCAACATGTCTTAATGAATGAATAATGGATCTTATTAAAATCACCCTATTCAGTGTGGAAAAGTCACGCTCGTAGTTCACACTGGAGATTGGTATGCTGAGGGCGATGGCAGCCAGGTTACTTAATCCAGGGTAGAGCTATCCCCACTCATCAGTTTGTGCCACAAGCTTCTCCATAATTTTTTGCTGGTCCATTTCCTGGAAGAATATTGCATACAAATTACATAACACACTTATTAACCTTCACAACTTGCGCTACGTGTCAGAAAAGTGACTTTATGTACATACTTGGAATGCTCCACACAGGATGTGTTGCCTGAAAGAAGCCCATTTTTGCAGCACTTGGTGGTTACCTATCTGAAATTTCCCAGAGAGCAAGGTCAGGTTTGACGCTTTTTCAGCTTCTTCCCCTCTGGGTCCCTGAGGCCCAAGAACATGAAAAGTGCTCAAGAGGTCCAAGTTAGAAAAGCGCCGGTCCAGGCTATCAATCAAGGCATCCAGATACGGTTCCATTACCTAAAGATGACAAACAAAAGTAAGTTCATTTGTTTGTCTTAGAGAGGCAATCAGTGATCATGGGGAAAAATTGCTTATATTTGGTAGGACTGGACCCGAATATTCGAATATTCGTTCGGTGAGTTGGTATTCGATTTGAAAATGTGACATTCAATTTTTTTTTTTTTTTTGCACACCTGGCATCCCACTCGAAACGGTTCTCATTTGTGCTTGAATATGTTTTACACTATAAAATCTGGTGAAATATAATACATAGTTCCCACATGACGTCACAACATACGGGCATTTGCAGACCCGGCGCCATTGCTGAGGGCAAAACAAGCAATACGAGTTAAACAAAGTGAAATGAGTTTCGTGCTAAAAAGTGAAAATGGTCATCTCCTGCTGGGTCAATGCATGATAAAATCATGCCGGAGGTTCAGTTAAATTGGGATTTTACACTATACCCGTCATTAGACTCCATATGGATGTGAGAAGACTAAGCTTTTGTTAGAACAACGACGGAGGTTATGGCTGGCGAGGATAAACAGGAAAGAAACTCACTCAAAACACGCAATAATTTGTTTGACAAAAGCACAATGTTGTGTTTTATTGTGAGTGTACACAAATATAAGTTAACACATTGCAGTTTGAATAATGTCCTGTATGAACAAAATGATGAGGTATTAAAAACATACAAAACAACATTGTTTCCACTGTTTGATCTCACATTCCAGCATTGCAATCTCAGATTATGTCCCTAAAGAACCCACGTATAATGTAGTTCCGCATTACATTACTTTGTAAACATCAATGGTAAACATAGCGGTTTTGCCCTCAAAGATGGCGTCTCCGGGGAGGTCACGTGACATTAATTTGCCTGTGGGAACTATGTATACTTAACATTTAACTTCGTTATAGCTACTTAATAAATATATTTGCTCCTTCTTGGACTAATAAAAGTGCTCCTGCAATGGGAAGTATTGCTGGCTAGAGCGCAGAACAGCAGAGTTTATATGGACAGAAGTGTAGGGCTTCGCTTGTATTTTGGGTTAAGCTGCGTTGCTTTGACGTTGTGGAAAATAGAATAACACAGTTCTATTCTGAGCGGCGCGCGCATGCCGCATTTCAAATAACGAACAACCCCTTATGGCAACGTGACATTACCCTAATGGAAAATATTTCCATATGTGGCTCTTTCCTCCATTCTTGTCAACAATTGGATTCAGAGCCTCCACGTTAGCAATGCTGCCGGTCACCATGTCTGTGTTTTTAGGTGTATAAATTAATGAATTGAATGTCATGATATTGCTAATCATGTGAAGATTTTGCAACGGTGCTGAAAATCTATACTTTGTAGGTGAAACTGCTACATATATCACTATACTTATATTAGAGCAGTGAGTGATTTTCTCTTTTGTTTGATTCACATTATTTGACAGAGCAGAAGGTTTATTAGGCTGCTGTCACTTTAAGACTGAATGCGCGGATCTAATATACTGATAAAGGCGCTTTATGCAATTTGAATGCTTAACTCTATTAATGAAGTCGTCATCCAGAAGTTAAACAAAAAGTTGATTAATTTAGAAGCATTTGTAGTGGATGAATGCACTGCTTTTGAACACTCATCCTGTGGCCCGCTACGTTTTAATGACAGAAAAGAGTTTTAATAGGCGCATTATAATTCCTCTTTGACTTACAGAACTCGTGTTCTGAGAATATTCTCGTGAGAACAAATGCGCGCTTGACTCGGCTAATATGGCAGACACTGCTGGATTGGTTGGGTCCATTGGCCGGTTTGCAAGGGCTCGATGGCACCGCTCTGTACACCCACTGCTGTTGATGTTGTGTGCAGCCACAGACAGACTGTAGCCCAATGATCACTCCTCCTGTGATCTTCACTGTGTTAGGAAAAATACCATTGTATTTGAAGGATAGAATTTGAAAGAAACGGTAAGATTTGCATGTTTCTTTAGAATGTTTTTGACTGAGTCAGACAATTGTATTTACACTGCAACTTAATATTTTTGATTAATTTTAAACAATAACAAAAAAAACACTAGAATAACTCTTGGAAGTTTTCTCTGAAAAGTATTTTATATTGCTCCTATTGATATTTTGATGTAGTATACCAAATTATCTTTATTAATGTAATACTATTGTACAAATGGCGTTTATTGTCCATATATCATGTTTTCCTAATGTCTTGTACCATTAAACTGAATATGCATATGATAATGATATGCAGATGACTGTGTGTAGTAAAACGAGGCATTGTAAGCTCCATATTTGGTTATTTCGGGTTCAGACGCATGTGCGCACAATCCTCTGCTGACTGTGTTTTATAAGTGGGATATTGCACTGGTTCTGGCTTATGCATGGTTTTATACATCTGAAGAGTGTTATGCGTATGCAACATCTAGCTTTTGTGTGTATGAACGCTTCTACGGGAAGTGTTATACATGAGCCCCTGGACTCTCAGTGTCACTGATATGCTGTCCTGTGCTCACACCCACAGGCTAAAGAGATTCTCACGAAGGAGTCGAATGTGCAGGAGGTGCGCTGCCCCGTCACAGTGTGTGGAGATGTGCACGGCCAGTTTCACGACCTCATGGAGCTCTTCAGAATCGGTGGGAAGTCACCTGACACCAACTACCTGTTCATGGGTGACTATGTAGACAGAGGATATTACTCGGTGGAAACAGTCTCACTGCTTGTTGCACTAAAGGTACATTTACAAACTGCATTTGGTATGATGGTCTTGCGAACATTTCAGACTTCTTGACACTTGATGTTTTCTGTGTTTATAGGTTCGCTATCCAGAACGCATCACGATATTGAGAGGAAACCACGAGAGCAGGCAGATCACACAGGTGTACGGTTTCTATGACGAGTGCTTGAGGAAATACGGCAACGCCAACGTCTGGAAGTATTTCACAGACCTCTTTGACTACCTCCCCCTCACAGCCCTGGTGGATGGGCAGGTGAGGAATCCTCCTCTTCTGATAAATACACATTATAACAATTACACCAGAACCGAAATTACTTCTATGACCCCTGCTTATGGCTGTCGATAACTTGTATAACTCTCTCTCTCTGTCAGATCTTCTGCCTGCACGGTGGTCTCTCTCCATCCATAGACACGCTGGATCACATTCGTGCGCTGGATCGTCTGCAGGAGGTGCCGCATGAGGTCAGTACAATTCAATACAGATCGCATCCATGCGCTACTGGCTGAATCCAGTGTTATTTATATAGCACTGGATATAATCCTTGATGCAACCGACTCGAGATTGCAACATGAACGAGAGGCAACACGGACGTGCAAGTAGTGAAAGAATACATTTATTCAACAAAATAAGCATAATTACAAAAGATACAGTAATCGGTATTAATGGAAGTCAGTAGTAAAGACGTGCATGAAATAGGTGTATAAGCTGAAGGTCTGGAATGGATGCACACAAATAAATATAACAAAACGAAAAGCAACAAAAAATCAGCCGTATAGTCAGGCGCAGTCATCATAGCTCTTGCAATCATCAGCGCTGCAGTTCTATAGCCCCACAACTTGAGCCTCAGGTGGAAAAAAACACACCCTTGCTAAACACCTGTAACCAAAAACACACCCTCGCTAAACGCTTGTAACAAAAAACACACCCTCGCTAAACACCTGTAACCAAAAACACACCCTCGCTAAACGCTTGTAACCAAAAACACACCCTCGCTAAACGCCTGTAACCAAAAACGCACCCTCGCTAAACGCCCGTAACCAAACACACCCTCACTAAATGCCTGTAACCAAAAACATAGGCCCAGCACTCACTGGGATCTTGAAACTGAGAAACACAGGGCAAACCAAACACTCATGAAAGAAGCTCACAGTAAATTGAGGCCATGTCCACACGGACACGGGTATTTTTATAACCGTGACTTTTTTTTTTTTTACGCGGTTCGGCCGTTCGTCCACATGGAAACGCAGTATCAGGACACTGAAACCGAACATTTTTGAAAACCCCTGCCAGGGTGAGTATTTTCTGAAACGCCGGAGTTTTTGCAGCGCTGACGGCTTCTGATTGGCTAACGTGGCTTTGCGGTTAGGTTTATATCGCCGCCTGCTTGTGTTGCATGCTCTTGACAGCGCTTGATAGCGTGTTTTTGCGTTTTCATGTGGACAGAGGTTTTTTTTAAAACGCAGGAGGGAAAAACTCCGGTTATAAAAATACCCGTGTCCATGTGGACAAGGCCTGAATGCCAAGGGAAAAAAATATGTTACAAGAGACGATTTAAAAACCGTTAAGGACCGTGGCGATCTGATATTCCACAGTCTAGGGCCAAAGGCTCGACCTCCAGATCATGATTAAAGATACAAGAGAGCAGGACACAAGAGAGCAGTCTCTTATCAGCACAACTCAAATTTTGTGTGGGATTGTAAAGATAGAGTAGCTCAGACAAATAGCTCGGTGCCAGATTATTTAAGGTTTTAAAAAGATGAAGAATTTTAAACTAATTCTAAAATGCACAGGTAACCAATGCAGAGATTTTACAATTGCAGTAATGTGAGTGAATTTACGTTTGCCTTTGAGGAATTTTGCAGTAAATGAAAACTGGAGGCGATGGATGATGTGGACATGTCATAGTAGTGTTGTCACGGTACCAAAATTTCAGTATTCGGTACCAATACCAGTTAAAATTCACGGTTCTCGGTACCAATTTCGGTACCAAAGCTTAGTTTAAATTTACATTAAGTGTTTATCACGGTTACAAGTATGGAAACTGTACATTTGTATTATAAACACTTTAGAAAAAGATTAGATAAAATGACCTAAAATAAACAATAGTATACACTAACACATTTTTAAAGTTGTTTGTAAAGTATTAATCCATTATTTATTTAATGCACAATGAATTAAGTGAACAAACATGAACAATCAGGTGTTTGTAATAAATAACATTTTCAAACATTAATTAATGTTGTAAAAATATATTGTTCACTCAATGTGTTGATAAGTAAGTAATGTTGATGAATGGTATCTTTGTAGCATTACCATAAAACATGTTTTATTTGACTTGACTGTCCTTTTATTTAATCTAAAACTGCATTCATATTTAATTTTAAAAAGGCTTTTCAAACCTGCTGAGTTATAAAGGCAAGAATACGCCTAGAACTGGCACTGACATTAAATGACAATACTAATACCAGTAGTAGCCTACTCTGGTGTCGGGTGGATCCTACTGTGCTCATGTACTCGTAAAACTACCCCGAAAGCACTTTAGAGGCCGTTCACATGTCACGCGTGTTTTTTAATTATATTTTTGCGCGTGCTTATTCTTTCCAAAGCGCTTGCTCTCACGCGGCGTCTGTCGTTGCTATGCAACGCCAACGAGTTTTTATTATGAGCGCGCTTGAATCGCGCCCATATTTGAAATTGCGAATTTGCATGTAATCGGCCTCTTATGGCAACGTGACATTAACCTAATCCAAAATATTTCCATATGTGGCTCTTTCCTCCTTTCGTTTCAACAAATGGATTCAGAGAGAGAGAGAGAGAGCCATTTCAGCGTTATAAAGAGGACGCAACTGTGCACGTTTCAGACATCGCGTCTAGAACAGAACTGGATTAACCTGGTACTCGGTACCTAGAAAAGCTGGTACCGTAACATTTTTTTTTTTTTTTAGTACCGACTTGGTACCGAAGTACCGAGTTTTTTGACAACATTATGTCATAGTAAAGAGAGTTGCAGTAATGCGAACGAGACATAATGAGCGCACCGATGGCAATCTCGTACTGTTATCAGAGAGAGGATATAATCTTAGAGAGAAGACGCATCCTAAAATAACATGAGCTACTAACCGCTTGAAGAAATATCTCTCAAGTTTTCGTTAAACGACAAGGATCGTTCCAGTGCACCTATGCAACCGTTGTGTCAGGTGGGGGGTGCAACCACAGAAACTGAAAATTCTTGGGCCAGCAGTATGTGTCCAAATTTCAATCTTAACCGTTCTATTTCATCAGAACTCTAAAAGTTTGTAAAACTCTCCAGTGTAAAATGTTCACTGCAGATGCAACTGTTGTGGTCACTAAAGGAATATCCTTTATCACTCTTTTCACTGATTTAATTAAAGGGATACTCCACCGTTTTTTTTGTTTTTTTTTTTCTTTTTTTTTCATATTAAAGGGTTAGTTCACCCAAAAATGAAAATTAAGTCATCAATTACTCACCCCCATGCTGTACCAACCCCGTAAGACCTTCGTTCATCTTCGGAACACAAATGAAGATATTTTTGATTAAATTTGAGAGCTGTATCACTACCACATAGGCTGCCTAAGGGACTGGCTCTTGACGGCCCAGAAAGTCAATGAAGAAAATGTTTAAATATTCCATGTGACTACCGTGGCTCAACTATAAGTTTATCAAGCGACGAGAATACTTTTTGTGCGAAAAAACAAACAAAAGTAATTTTTAACTTAACTTTAACTTTATTCGACTATTCCTTTTCTTCCTTGTTGGCCTGAAACGAGACTTCCTTTGATTTCCACGACGCATGCGCGAGAATTGCGATCTCCTTCAACTACTTCAGTTCAGTTCTCGCGCATGCGTCGTGGAAATCTAAGGAAAGATTATTAATATTACTTACAGATTGTGATTCGGAGGAGGACGAACCTGATCCATATATACTGATCCCCTGATAACCTGATCCCTCCTTCAGGAACAACCGGCTTGCGAATCCACATTTGATTCATTTATGATTTTGAATGATTCGTCATTAAAATGATGAGAACACAAGGTTCGGGCTAAACTGTTGTGGTATCGTTGCAAATATGAAAATAATTGGCTGAACTGTCTTTGCAATGTAGAACACAGCGTCTTCTCGACATGACGCTGTTCAGCTGAAGTATTTGAATCATAGATTTGAATGTGTTCTAGACTTCAAATTTACACTTCCGTCTGCGCACGCAGTTGTTGGGAGCGGCCAATGAGCTAATGTTTCGTATCTATGTCACTACGAATCAGCTAATGACTCGTTTCAAAAACAATTCATTTCATAGACTCAGAGTCGACTCACTTTTGAAAGACAATAACTTTATATACGGTGCACTTTCAGATATAAATCTTTGCAGGATGTTTTCATTCACTTAGAGCTATATTCCACACTACATGAACATTCATTTTCAAAAATCCATGATAGGGGCTCTTTAAACACCAAGAATCAATTAGGCTATCCTGGTTTGAGTTGACAAATGAATAGAACATTGTAGCGCTCATCCCATCCAAAAAATCACAATACCGTTATGCTTTGTTACTATTGATATGAAACAAAAGCTGTGTCTGAATTCGCTCCCTATCCACTATATAGTGCACTATATCGGGTGTCGGCCATTTTGTAGTGGTGTCCGAATTCTGAGTGAACATCATTCCCTACATTCATTCATTACTTTTACCCACAATCCTCTCTGAATTTGAGTGTACATTCGATGTACACTTGCTGAAGCCCTATTTCCCACAATCCAATGCGGAGAGAACTGAGCGCGCATGAAAGTGCGGCGCGAGCAAGTTTAAACCACAGATTACATTACATCCAGTGGAGGATTTGAAAAATATCCGTTAATCGTTCTTAGGAAGCGTATTCATTTGAATATAATAACGGTCGCCGGAGGGCGCTCGACGACACGTCATCTGTGAACTTGAGAGTTACAATTTCAGTTTATGAAACTACAAAGCTGGCACGGAGGTATTATATAATTACAAAATAAAGTCATTATGATTGTTATTGTTGTTAGTATTATTTTATAAAGTAGGTAATGTAAGATAAAAGGAGTTTTATCAGTACGCGTGACGAAGCCTTTCTGCGACAGCTCCAACTCTCCGACGCACAGTGTAAACGTCAGCGTCCGAATTCACTCACTTCATCTCGTTCACTCCTTGAAGATATAGTGCACTCAAATGCCATACACTATATAGGGATTAGTGAATAAATGAACGAGTGAGCGGTTTCAGACACCGCTAAAGTCTCCGATTTCTAAGTACGTCCATTTTCTTACAAAATTCAAAAAACATACCATTTTGGTGGCGTAAGATCACTTTGGCTCAGCTCAAGAGAAGCAGCTGCATATAATCTTCTCTTCTGCCTTAGGCCCTGTCCACACTACTGCGTTTTCGTTAAAAAACGGAGAATTAAAACAAATACGATCTCCGTCCACACCAGTGTTTTATCTGCGTATTAGAATTGATCTCTGTCCACTTTAAAACCACTGAAAACGTGGATCACCTGACCATTCACCAACACTGGGCATGCGCGTGCCGGTGTAAACAGTGGCTGACGAATCAGGGAAGGCCACGTCGTGACTGACACCCAATCATAGAGCCTAGCGTGAGCCTCTGCGTCATCGTTTCTAAACTCATCCGTTTTGTCCCGTCTACACTGAAACACCCTCCGGAGATTCAAAACGCAAAACCGAGCCGCAGCGTTTCTAAAGTTCTCCGTTTTAGGTTTAACCTTCGTTTTAGGTTTTTGCTGTTTTAGTCTGTATGCGAGGTGCAAATGTAGCAAAAGGTCTCCGTTTTTAAACGAAAACGCAGTAGTGTGTACGGGGCCTTAATACCAGTTACAGCGTGAATTAAACATGAATGAGCGTCTGAAAGTGTTGAAAGATAAAGTACAACTTATTGAAATCCATATCGTGTCACATGAAATCGTTCAAGCAGTGTTTCACCTGTGGAAAGACGTCAGTAAAAGAGCTTGTAAACAGTGTCATGTAAAGTCACATTTATCTCAGAAAAACCATATCCAGTGACCATAAACTCGTTAGTCAGCTAGAAAATTTTTCTTTCTAGAAGAATTGATCTCCGATTTGCAGCGTTAAGCAAAGCTAGTGTGCATAACTGATTATTGTTTAAGAAAAGGGTATCGGATCCGTACATAGGTAGAAGTACTCGCCGATACCGATGCCAGAATTTTTATTGGTATCGACGGCATTTCCGATACTAGCGTCGGAATCGGAACAACTCTAGACTCATGTCATCATAATTGAAATGCTTAGGCAAGACGTGTCTTAGTTCAGTGTGTTCAGCTGTGAGCCAGCGTGATGAAGACGCTGTAGCTCACGCTCATTCAGCCTCGCCTGCAGTGCATTATGGGATTCATGTTGAGCTGAACTCTTGTGGCTGTGCAGACCTGTAGAACCTTCTCTTCAACTTTATTAGCTCTTCAGATGGAGTAACCAAGATACCAGCCTGACTTGTGAAAGTTGAGTCTTACAGTGTGTTTAATATATATAGCATTTGTACAACACAGGTTCTCATGAAGGCTCTCGCTGGTTCGAGGAGATTGGCTGTAAGTCACTGCGTGTGTGTTTCAGGGCCCCATGTGTGACCTGCTGTGGTCGGACCCTGATGATCGTGGTGGCTGGGGAATCTCTCCTCGAGGAGCTGGTTACACCTTTGGACAGGACATTTCTGAGACCTTCAACCACGCTAACGGCCTGACCCTGGTGTCCCGCGCACATCAGCTGGTCATGGAGGTGAGATACACACTTTCAAATCCTCACAACCCTTCAGTGGAATGACAGTTCAGATGAGATAAAACCGCTTGTTTTCCCCCAGGGTTACAACTGGTGTCATGATAGGAACGTCGTCACGATCTTCAGCGCGCCGAACTACTGCTATCGCTGTGGGAACCAGGCAGCCATTATGGAGCTGGATGATACTCTTAAATATTCATTGTAAGTTACACTTCTGATAATCTTTCAAATGTGTACTCCCATATAAAGTGTGATGGTTCACATCTGAACCATATTTCAATTGTTTTACTTAAAGAATGAAAATGAAGCCTGTTTTTAGGAATATAAAGATTTTTCACCTTTGTGGCATTATCTGTAAATTGTGGCTAGTGAAGTGCACCATCACGTGAGGCTATTGAAGTGCACTATTATGCCTACATTCATGTAGCATGTAATTTAGTTATTTGTGACTGTAACGTCTGCAAAGTTTTGAAGATCAAAAGTGTTTAAGTGCCGAAGCTGGTCGTAAGTAATTCCAGCAACCAATCTACAAAATCCCACCTATGGTCTTCATTGGCTGTCCTTAAACAACTTCTCATTTGACCTGCCCTCAAACACTGTAGTTGTGTCTGAAAGCTTCGTTTTGAGAAGACACGATTATCAGTGCCGCGGATCCACTTCTACTGAAATTCAAATGGTAAAACTAACGCCACCGTTACGGTTCGTATCATTGTGCATCAAGTGCTGAAGACGATCCAGAGCTGAAATCGAGATATGGTAGTTTCAACATGACATGACTTTTGCGTAAACATATACGCCACTTTCGAGTCAGGTGGCGTGTTATCTCTACGCATTTTGAGCTATCCGCGCGTATGCGTGCGTATGCGTAGGGATGGGACGATAACCGGTTTCCAGGGGTGTAAAGTAACGAATTACAAATACTCACGTTACTGTAATTAAGTAGTTTTTTTCAGAAATTGTACTTTTTTGAGTAAGTTTAAAATTGTGTAATTTTACTTTTACTTGAGTACATTTTAAGTGATGTATCGGTACTTTTTCTCCGCTATTTTTCCTTCTGTTTGTGGCCGTTACTCGTTACATGCTTGTTTTAATTTTATTTTTATCCATCAACGTGATTGGATCGAGTAATCGGTCTCGTGACTGTCATCAATTCAAATTAAGCATAGAAAACTTACCGCCTATTCCTGCTGTTACTCGTGACTGCTGTGGAAGTGCATTCATCACGCATCAATTCAATCCAGATATCAGCGTCTTCCTCTAATATGCTAAGGTACATTTCACATTTCTGCTTAATATGATATTTATATAGGCTGGCCTGTCTACATAGCCTAACATTTGGTCTGAGGTTGGGGGAATTGCGAGACGAGTTCATAATGCGGTGAATTCCCGCGCTCCCGTTTACTTCACAATCACAGGAGAGATGCGCGTCACGATCTGTGCACTGCCGCGTCTCGCGCTCGCCATGCCGCCAGATTCAGAACCAGTGCACCATGTCGTTAACTTGAACTGCATTACTTAATAATAAATTAGCACAACTCGTTAATAAACAGCGTTTTTTGATTGATCCATTATATGATCCGTCTTCATTTGGCAAGTGCAACATTTTTCATGCTGAACTTTTTTTTTTTTGGTGGATGCTGCTGATAAAACAGCTTCGCCGAGACTTCAGAGACAAAGTGTGTTTATTTCTTTTGTAAAAGTTTCCTGGATATAACTTCCCTATTTAATGCACAATTTTTATTACAAATTATATTATCAGCATTACAATGTGAGTAAATGTAGCCGTGTAAAATGTAAGGGATGATGCCACCCTTCTAGAACAATGCATTTACGTTTAAATTGTAACATATTTAATAGCATGGAATAAAAGTGTGTAATTAGTGTTAGCTCATCTTAGCCTTTTTCAGTGCATTTGTTGAGGTAATATGATAATATTAGTGATTCTCATTTATCAAAACACTAACATTGGTACCGTTTTGGAGAGAAATTGGGTATTTTTTAATCTCTCTATTTAACCCATCTCTTGGTGTGTGATGCTGAACTATCATATGAGTTTCTAAAGGTTTTTGAATTCTTTGCACAGTTATGAATATTGATATTTTATGTGCAACAATAACATGCTCAGGCCCAGTGGCTTTTCGCCTAATTTTAAATGCTTTTTCCCCCAAATAATATGATTTAAATGGTGATGAGTGTCCTGTTTTGATGCATTTTAAAAAGATGGATAATAGATATTCTTCAATCTTTCTTACAAAGAACAAAATATAATGTGAATGCCAGTATGTGCATTTTTTTATTATTTATAAATTGTAGTGCACAGTGTTTATTATAAGGGGTAGAATCCGCACCTCAGTACTCAATACTCACTACTCTTGAGTACTTTTAAATAAGCTACTTTTTTACTCTTACTCAAGTAGTTTTTTGGACAAGTACTTTTTACTCTACTCACACTACATTTTTTGGAATGTAATGGTACTTTTACTTGAGTATGTTTTTTCAGTACTCTTTCCACCACTGCCGGTTTCACGATAAACCGTGATAAAATGTACTGACGGTTAGCATTATCGTTTAAAATGTAATTATCATTAAAACCGTGTTTGATTATCGTGATTTTAATAACTCACTGAATCCTGTCGGCTAGTCTGACGCAGGCGCGCAGCACGCAATATTTTTTTAAATTACTATTCGAGAAGGAACGGTGGAAGGCAGTGACTGTGCTCAGGAGATTTTTCAGCCTTTTAAGAGGACCAAATCTGAGGTGTGGTCATATTTTGGGTTTTACAAAAAACTATTAAAAATAACTTTTGGAAATAACAATCACAGTCCTGGACAGTGAGTGAGCTTACACATTAAGATAATATCGGATTTTCTCCAGTCATGGTTAAAAAACAAGCTAACAATCCTTGCTAACTAGCGTTAGTGAAGTGGCCAGACGGATCTTTCTGCATCCACCTAAGCTCCGCCCACAAAAAAACGTCACCATGTTTACCAACTGTAAAAGGGTCTATAGAATCTTGCTTAAAAACTGCATAGAGAGGCTTGTTTTATTTGTTGTTTGTTGATTTTCAATTATAAAACTTGTTGAAATGTTTTCAGTGTGAGCATCAGTTCTTTTTGAGCACTTTCATAAATTTTTAACAAAACCGTGATAATATTGATAATCACGATTATTTTGGACACTATAATCGTGATATGAAATTTTCATACCGTCCCATCCCTACGTATGCGTATATGTCTACGCCATTAACGTCCACGTCATTCCGCGTGTCTGAACACGCAGTCAAATCTCCTGTCATAAATGCCATGAACCCCAGTGACGGTTAAGTTTAGGGATGGGGTTGAGGTAAGTCATATCTTTTTTTTACCTAGGATGGTAAGGGAACAGTCATAAATGCCATTAACCCCAGTGACGGTTAGGTTTAGGGACGGGGTTGAGGTAAGTCATATATTTATATAACGTTAAGTCAACGGCGTTCATAAACACGCTGAAAGGCGATTATGCGTTTTGATAGCACGCCAAAAATGGAAATGCGAATTGGCGTCTCATACACGCGCTACTTCATGAGATCAGTCTGAGAGTTTAGTTTCTGACAGATGCTGTAAGCTATTGACTCGTCACAGCTGTCTGAAAGAGACTGAATCCTTGATCGACAAGCTGATATATATGAATATTAGGAGAATATGAAAGTGTTTTTTGCATGTAAGCATATTGTAGGAGATTATAATAGGGACACTTAAACCTTATTGCTGCAAAATTCTCATTGCTGCAATGCAAACAGTCTTTCAGTGTAATAGTTGACAAACTGATTGAAACTGGTTATCTGAACATGTCCCAGTCTGCCATTGGTCCAACAGAACCGCCCCGAATTCCTGTCATTGGTTGAGGGAGTGTTACTGTGTTGAAGTTCAGATAAACGGAGCAGTGTTTTTATAGCACCAGTGTTGGACGCTTCAGGGAAATCAGCCTTAAGATGTCTGACTGAATTTTAAACCGAGATAGTAAAAAAAAAAATGACTTGCAATAATGACTCTCTAATAACCATCACAATTGAGAATAGTGAGAATTAAAAATACTAGTACTGCAAAGTGTTTAATATGTCACAATGTAATCCTAAAATGATGCTTCATTTTCATACATGCTTCATGCTGCAACATGTTGTTTTTCTTTTTGAGGTTTTGGAGTGAAATGTGACGGGACAGGTTTTCTTAAAATTGATTTGATCAGACAGTGATCTGTGTTTTTCTTTCTCCTCCCCCAGTCTTCAGTTTGACCCCGCTCCTCGACGCGGAGAGCCCCATGTCACCCGCCGCACCCCCGACTACTTCCTATAAGCCAGCTCAACACCAAACCTTAGGACAATTCCAGACACGCATACATCTATTCACACCATGTGTAAATAAACAGGGGAGATGTTCTGACGCAACACTAACACGGACCAAAATGTGCCATACAAGCATTTAATGCCCAAATCCGATCGCTCTGTCTCAGTACTGCTACAAAGTGTCTCGTTTTAGCATATAGTGCAAATTGCCTGCTGTATACAATGACTAGAGATGTTCCCTTCGTTCTTGAATTGTAAATTACTCTGAGTGAAAAAAAAAGCAAGTGACTAGCTTTCTCTCTTACAGCATCACTGGAAAAAAACATGGCGATGCCAGGCATGTGAAAAACGGTAACATTTTATACAAGTGCACAAGCTGACATTCTTTCCTCCTGTATTCACTCAAAATAACACTCACACACACAAACAAATCCTATCGGGAAGGAATGTCGAAACCGAAGGACGTGCCTCTTCCGTTCTGGGAGTGAACACACACAAGTGTACATGGACTTTATCTGACTGTTCCTCTTTGTCTAATCTTACCATTTTCTTTTCTTTTGTGTTTCCTGTCTTCTGTGTATTTGTTAATAAGTGATAGCCTCTTCTTTGGTGTATTTGAACTAATAAAGTACTTTTAATCGCAAGCTACTCCAAAACCACACTCTAGTAGTGCTTTTATTGATCATTGAGGATTGTTGTCTGTATTGACAGTGAAATCATATTTGCATAATGTGAATCAGTTTTATTGTTGTAATGATGTGTTTTTGTTTTCTATGGTGGGATGACGCAGGTCATTCGTTCAAGCTTTGATACTGCACACTCTTTTTCCATTAACAGACGGTCTGCAATATCCATGTATTCTTAGAAAATAGACTTTTGCAAGCAAACATTTCATCACTTTGTAGTGCTTTGATCTGATTCATTTGGTTCCCTTGGGGATTGAAGGTCAAAGTCGCTGTCCAGAACGTCGCAAAACCATTATGTAATATATAACCACATGTTTTTTTTATGTGGTTTAAGAAAGGCTGCGGCATCTACAACCCATGACTAAACCGAGACGGCTGTCAATAGTCTTGTGACATAAGCCAAACAAAGCAAAGGTTGTCTCAGAGTTGGGCAAGTTCATACATTTTGGAGAAAGATTACGAAGAAAAACATTTCATGTTTTTGGAAAAGTCACTTATGCACACCTGCATTTATTTGATCAAACATAGTCAAAATTGTATGAACCTCAAACTTTTTAGTATATGAACATTCGGATACTAGATAAAACAAGACAAGCTTAACAATCTGCAGTTAGTATGAAAACTACCCATGAAATCCATGAAGAAAATAATAATATATTTTATTTGTAATGCACTTTACATCAATTTAATGACCTCAAAGTGCTACACATAAAAACAGGAACATAAAAAAAAAGATAAAATAAATGAAATAAAAGCACTGTTAGCCATAAAAGGCTTTTCAAAAAAGATGGGTTTTAAGGCCTTTTTTAAAAGAGTCAACAGTCCGAGTGACCCTTAGTTGGACAGGGAGAGCATTCCAGAGAGTAGGCGCGACTGAACAGAAAGCTCGATCACCCATAGTACGAAGCCTTGTCCTCACAGGCTGAAGGAGATTGGCCTGTCCAGAGCGGATTTGACTAGATGGGGAAAGGGGGGTGATGAGTTGTTTAAAAATAATGTGTTTATATAGCAAGGTAGCATTTGTTTCATTGGCCTTGTTTTGCTGATTTAATAAACAGTATCTGGGCAGGATTACTCATAGAAAAACTAAGATTCATCCATACACCATTGGAAGCACAAAATCAGCTACACAATAGTCCCTTTTTGACCTACTGAACATGTTCTTGAACATTAACGAACTATACAAGAGTTACAATGAAATGCATCTCAGGTCCCGTTGGCTGGTGCCCGATGTGACCGCATCCACTCAGTCACGTAGTGTTTGAGCAGCCGAGTGCTGTTAGGGGAGCGCCGGTTCGATCTCCTCCACGTGCAAAACTGTGTGTGTGAGGATCCCAGCCTCCTCCAGGCTCAGGCCCTCAGCCGTGCGCAGGCGTTCCCTCGGGAAGGACGAGCATAGCGCGTAGAGAGCGGGAGGATAGCCGGACTTCATCATCCAGTCCAGGAGGATCTAATGATCAGGAGAAGGGAATGTCACCGTGTCATCTAGTCAAAGCAGACAGCAGGAATGAGGGAGGACTCACCGTCGAGCTCCAGGTTTTGAGGAATCGCCGGTGTATGGTTCTTCTGCTGGGACATCTTACAGCTATTCTTACAACCTGCAGAGATTTAACTGTAAAAACACGCACTCACAGGAGGAAGTGCCGGATATCATGCTGTATCTCAGGATCAGGTTCTGGTCCACTCACCCCCTCAGCGTCCTCTGGTGGCTCGTCCGGCAAAACTATGACCTTTAATGGAAAGAAAACATGGTTTACAATAAGGTTCATCAGTTAAAATAATTGTATTTGTTAATCTTTGTTATTAATACAAATAAAGCTTCATGTTAGTTCACAGTGCATTAACTAATGCTGACACGTTTGTAATAAAGTATTAGTAAATGTTGAAATTAACATGAATAAATGCGGTATAAATGAAGGTCATTATTAGTTCATGCTAACTAATGAAGTTAAAAGTACAATATGTAAGAATTTTCGATCAAAATATCCAAAAACCACTTGCACAGTGTTACATATTTCTGTAAATTGTGTACTTACATTATCCTAAATGTTTCACGGTTTAGTGTGACAGTGTAGACCAAGTGAAACAGAATTGATCTTAAGTTTAATTTGTCTAATAAACTGTCCTGTGCGAGTAATTCAGCACTTGTAGTGTAGTTGTAGTGTAGTGCGTGTAGTTTGGTAGGATTAAATGTCCTTATTCCTTTATATCTGCGAGTGTGGTGCGTGAGATCTGTCTCTCATTAACTCACATCAGTCAGTGTATTCACTCATCCATAAACATTATTAGATCCATCAGCATGACAAGTCCCATCATTCTGCTTATCACTGCGTCATCAACCTACGCCTTTGTTATTGTAAGAGGTTAGCGACCCCTAGTGGTCAGAACATATTGTAGCTTTAACTAATGTTAATTAATTAACCTTATTGTAAAGTGTTACCAAAAACACATGTCTTCCACATAGGCCCTTGTAAGTTTCTGAAAGTCCTCCCTGCATCTACACCTGTGCTTGAGAGCTCCTTTAGAGCATCATTCACAGAGTACAGTGCACTGCTTCCCACCTTCTTCTGCTTGAGCGCGTGTGTGGCGTTTGTTCGCGCAGGATCTGGAGTCACAGTCTGCAGCAGCGTGCGTCTCCTCCTCGCTCCCTGGTTAGCACTCTCGTCTACAGCCACATCTGGACACACCTGATCCTCCGCCCCCTGAACCACAAGATGCAGTTACAAGTGGAGCCCGACCGATAAAGGATTTTGAAGGCCGATACGGATACAAATATTTTTGGGTTTTAAAATCCGATATATCGGCCGATATTTTATTCATTTATTTGAAACTGGACATGATAGTCACAAATTTTGTCATGCTTATTTGAGTTTAGAGAACTGATGGGGATGTTCTTTTTAATTGATATTCAAGCAATGTATATATCGTGACCAACTCAACGAGTGTTGCCAACAGGAGCGGTGTAGAGTGCCCTCTGGTGGACAAACTAAACAACTCCAACACTCATGACATGGTTCAAGTGTGTTTCATCCGTTTTTATTTTATTTTTGAAATATTCATTTATCGGCCATTATAACTGCCGATACCGATAGTTTGGAAAATGCCTAATATCGGTCGGCCGATATATCGGTCTGGCTCTAGTTACAAGTACTCTCAGTCAAGTCAAGGCACCTTTATTATATTGCATATTTTATATTTACTTATATTTTACAACACATTGTTTCAACAGCTTTACAGAGATAACAGGAAAATAATGCAGCATCGTAAAAATATCGTCACTGTCCAGCTTAAGTCAATTCAGTTATGGTTCATTTCTATAGTAAAAAAGTTATTAATTTAGTTAATATATTTCAGTTGTGGTTCATTTCTGTAGTAAAAAAGTTATTTAGTTATATATTTACACACTGCCACTCTGGAGAATACCGTGATGTCATCGTCCAGCTCAGTTCAGCTCTCATATAATAGTGTCAATGCAGATCAATAATATTGTTGAATATTAAATTAAATGTCCCCAACTAAGCATTAGTTTGGTTTAGTTCCTTTATTGTCCACAAGTGGAAATTTGTCTTTGGCTTCACTAATACACCACACCCAGGGACACCAACACAAAAAGAAAAATATACATAAAATAAAACAGTAAACCTATGCATAGCCTACATATCCACCCCTAATCATATTAAAGGGTTAGTTCACCCAAAAATGAAAATTAAGTCATTAATTACTCACCCCCATGCTGTACCAACCCCGTCAGACCTTCGTTCATCTTCGGAACACAAATAAATATATTTTTGATTGAATCTGAGAGCTGGATCAGTCCTATATAGACTGCCTAAGGGACTGGCTCTTGACGGCCCATAAAGTCATTAAAGAAAAGGTTTAAATATTCCATGTGCCTACAGCGGCTCAATTATAAGTTTATCAAGCGACGAGACTACTTTTTGTGCGAAAAAAAACATAAATAACGACTTTATTCCACTATTCCATTACTTCCTTATGGGCGCATGCGCGAGAACTGAGACGAGGACGTTCTCATTCGTCTACTTCTTGTTACCGGCTGCTCACCGCTTAGGAGTTTTACCGCCACCTACCGTATAAGATGATGTGCTGATATAGCTGGAAGCGCAAAACATTCTGTTTACAAGCAAAGGAAGATGCGCGCTGTACATACGCTTTTCAATTTGCATATTTTCCGCACTATAAGGTGCACTTAAAAGCCTTTAATCTTCTCAAAAAACGACAGTGTTCCTTATAATCCGGAGCGCCTTATATATGGATCATCATTTTATACGGTAGGTGGCGGTAAAACTCCTAAGCGGTGAGCAGCCGGTAACAAGAAGTAGACGAATGAGAACGTCCTCGTCTCAGTTCTCGCGCATGCGCCCATAAGGAAGTAATGGAATAGTGGAATAAAGTCGTTATTTAGGTTTTTTTTCGCACAAAAAGTAGTCTCGTCGCTTGATAAACTGATAATTGAGCCGCTGTAGGCACATGGAATATTTAAACCTTTTCTTTAATGACTTTATGGGCCGTCAAGAGGCAGTCCCTTAGGCAGTCTATATAGGACTGATCCAGCTCTCAGATTCAATCAAAAATATCTTTATTTGTGTTCCGAAGATGAACGAAGGTCTTACGGGGTTGGAACAGCATGGGGGTGAGTAATTAATGACTTAATTTTCATTTTTGGGTGAACTAACCCTTAAATATCTTCTTAACATTTAAAGTTGGAATAGCAGTTGGCACAAATGACATCTGGTACACATTTTTACTCACCCTAGGTTGTCTAAACTGTCTCCTTCCTGAAAGTTAGAGTGTAAGGGATGAAGAGAAGAATCCTCTAAAATAACCCATGCTTTTTGTTTGACTAAACATATCTCATTCAGTTGTCTTTGTGTCTCACCTACAATTGCGGCCTAACCACCCTAGACAATTTCTGCTTTGATTTAAAGAGCCCCTATCATGGATTTTTGAAAATGAATGTTCATGTAGTGTGGAATATAGCTCTAAGGGAATGAAAACATCCTGCAAAGATTTATATCTGAAAGTGCACCGTATATAAAGTTATTGTCTTTCAAAAGTGAGAGTCGACTCGAATTGTTTTTGAAACGAGTCATTAGCTGTTACATTGTGACGTAGACAGGTCATTGGCCGCACCCAACAACTGCGCGCGCAGACGGAAGTGTAAACTTGAAGTGACGTCTAGAACACATTCAAATACTTCAGCTGAATCGCATCATGTCGAGAAGACGCTGTTCAGCCTCTTGTTTTCATTGTCCAGGGACGAGCATGTGAAGAATCAGTGGTCAGAGTTCATTTTTGCAACGATACCACAACAGTATAGCCCGAACCTTGTGTTCTCATCATTTTAATGACGAATCGTTCAAAAAACATAAATGAATTCAAATGTGGATTCGCAAGCCGGTTGTTCCTGAAGGGCTCAGTATCCAGTGTATATGGATCAGGTTCGTCCTCCGACGAATCACAATCTGTAAGTATTATTCTTAATTATGTTTGCTGTTGTTTTCTGTAGCATGCACAATATAGTTATATTGTGTTGTGTGTGTTGTGTACACTCGGTGCAGCTTCTAAGCGGGGTAAATTAGATTTGTTTTTGATATTCACCAGACATTCATTGAAAAATGGCAATTACCTCCTAAACCAGTGTTTCCCAAGCCTGTTCCTGGCGGCACACCAACACTGCGTGTTTTCTTTGTCTCCCTAATCAAACACACCCGATTCAACTCATCAGCTCATTAACCCACCTGATTATGAGCTGATGGGTTGAGTCAGGTGTGTTTGATAAGGGTTACAAAGAATACACGCAGTGTTGGTGTGCCAGCAGGAACAGGGTTGGGAAACACTGTCCTAAACGACTTTGCTCTATATAATAAGCACTGCCCCTTAAAAGCCGCCACAATGTGAGTTTCGCCGGGAAAGCTTGCTCTTGACGGAGACGCGGGTAAGGGGCCGTGTGGAAAGTGCACTTTTTCTGACATGTTTGTTCAAACACTATATACAATTTTCAACGCTTGACAAGCTATAATCCTGGTTATGGGCATTCCGTTGCCGACTGTCTCTGCCTACGGTTTACCAATAACAACTGACTGGGTCATTTGACCAATCGCCGCAGATTCGCGTCACTCAAAGGAGGTGTTTGGGAAAATGAATCGTCGAACGAATCATTTGGGATTCGTTGAGCAAATCAGTTAAAAATAAATGCATATTATAAGACAAATAAAGTGTTTTTTATCCTTGCATGCACGTTAAACTGTTTTTGTGAACTCCTAAAACAAAAATAGGAACATTTCAAATGCTATGATAGGGGCTCTTTAACAGTCAGAACTCCATACTACACAGGCACAGTAAAAGACATATTACTCTCTACAAGATTCTTCTCTAAAACCATCTCTAAAGTATTTTTGATCACACCAAAGTTTTTAGCCTGTGAATAAGATGCAATCTCTGCATTGCCTTTTTAAAAACATAATCTACATTTACAGCAAAACTCAAGTTACTATCTATGAATGTTCCCGAGTATTTAAAACTATTGACTATTTCTATCCATTGAGTGTCAAGGGTTGCAATTGTAATTGGATTTCACATTTGTTCCAACTGATCACTAATTCCTTAGTTGTATGCAAGTTTTATTGTAATATTGTTTTTTGCGCTGGTCAGTCATCGTAAATCAGAGATGTCCAATCAACTGGTATGCTTAGTGAGACCTTGATTGGCTGAGGTGTGTTGAACTGGGACAGGTCAGGATTAAACACCCTCTCTCAGACTCAGACTGACTCCTACTGGAACCAACAGTGTTTCGGTTAACAATGCCATGATAGAAATGCCTTATTTGTAGTCAGCCCTGATTGCTATTAATAGGCTTTATGAACACCACATAAACAAACAGGAGAGCACATCTCATCACATCCGCTCATCTGGGAAAGTGTTAACAGCGGTATCAACTGATGGAGAGATCAGATTAAGGTAATGCTAAATTGCTAGTTATTGTTTGCGTTTTAATTCAATTTAAATATCTAAATGTTAGTGAAACCTTTAGATATCAATCTGTATCTTTGGAAGCTCTTTTGAAGGCATCTTCTGTAAAACGGCTCTAAGCGAAGCACATACAAAAGACCTGAACAGGAAGTGATGAGACCTGTTTTAAGTTTGTTGTGCATAACCACCATTACTGCTACTAATAAGTACTATTAATTTAGTTTGATCACTTTGTAATGAAGATAACTCCTGGATTCAGTACACTTACACATTATTGTGTCAAGAAAAGATGCTAAGATTGTGTTGCTAAAATCATCAATTGTACTGATTATATCAGCTCTGGCCCTCAAGATCCACTGCCCTGGAGAGACGACCTCTAGCCCTGATCAAACTCATCTCTAACTTCTCAACTGAATGACGACACTATGTTTTCTGCAGAGCTGCTTTATGGCGAATTGAACTCATTTCATAATTGATGATCTTTACACAGTTATTGAACAGAACTGAATCATCACTGAACTGACTTCAGCTGATTAATGACACTATTGTCTTTTTAGAGCTCTGTTTGCATCATTGATCATTTATTTTACTGTTTAAACCTGTACAACTGATTCTATAGTCTGTATTGTATAATGCGCTACAGAAATAAAGGTGATTTGACTTATTTTTAATTGTTAAAAAAAAACAACAGAATAACACATTTTGCGTCCTGCTGCATGTGGCGCTAGTGATAATGAGTTTGAGTTATCTCACCCCGACTGGAAACCCCTGGGTCAGTCTCCAGGCCTCTCCTGCCATACTATGTTGACGCTCTGTTTTCCGCTGGAGCAACGAGTTCTGTCTCGGCTTTAACACTCTTTCAGAGTAATCAGTCATCTTTATGAAATGAGAAACAGCATATTTCTTGTTAGAATATATTCATAACATATTGACTGACCTATAGTGGAACATTTCTTATCTTTTAAAGGCAGAGAGGTTGTGTTGAACCTTGTTATTGTGTTGATGTTGTTGAATTCTTCTAGCTTCCTCTTGTGCCAGTCTGTCGGAGTCTTGCAGTGGGCCTGCAAGATGGCAAACCCATTACATGCATCATTTTACATGACATGCATATTGAAAGCATTACATTACGAATAAGCCATAACAGTTACACCAAATATAAAACTACACAATTAAACAATAATAAAAATGTTCATACTGTCTGGGAGTCCTTGACATACTGGGAAGAAGAAAGATTTCAGCCTCGGTAACATGTAAATCAGCCATGTGCAGATGCCCAGGAATATGATCCCACGTCCAGCCAGCTTAAGCGCATCTGTGAAACCTGTAACACACACATCAAACAGCTGTCAGAGCATCTGTAACACACATCAAACAGCTGTTAGAGCATGTGTAACACCTGTAAAACACACACACACACACACACACACACAGCTATCAGCTTTCATGGCTCACTTTACAACTGCAGCAATATTAACACAGCTAATTTCACAAAACTGGCATTCCTAATTCCCTTGCTGGGACTTCGTACATGTTCAAACATTGAAAAGATATTTAAATAATCTAAATAATCATCTATTAAACTTTGTATCGATTACAAGTTGAAATTTTAATGGTGATGTTGGAGCCATTTGTTTTTGTTCTGCTAAAGTGAGAGACATCATCATGTCACTCAAGGTTTTCTACTTCAACAAACAAAATAATTATTGCCAGAATAATGATAATCATGATAACGTGTTACCAATTAATGAGTATTTCCATGAAATGAAGCAAAATCCTCCCAATAAATAAAGAACCACAGCAAATTTGTCAGACATGTCAGCAGTGATACGAATAACAACACGGAAGTCAAACAATAGCGTCTTGTCAAATTAAAAGCTGACAAGACGGGAAAAATTAATAAATAGATATATTTTGTATTTTATCAGACCTTGCTTTATTATGTAGTTTTTAGAAAATTGAGCTTTGGATTGGATTGAGCTTTAGACTGAAATTCGGTTTATTTCTGCGCTTTAAAAAAAACAGATCAATGCTCATTTTTGCAGCAAGATTGCAATAATAGAATATTAAAATTCTAAAACTTCTCAGTTTAATTGGGTTTTGTTATTATGAGTAGTACGTACCGACAAAGACTTATAGAACAAATGAAAGCAAACTATAAAATATGTTTCTCGGGATAGCGCTTTTATTATGAAAATTTGAGCTGTCCAATCATGTAGCCGATCGTCAGCAGGCGCTGCGTTGAACCAACCAACTGTGTGCGCGCCACGCATGTGTGATCAACAGCTGCGCATGCGCACTGCGCGCAGCTGCAGAGTGAGAGCGTGCAGGACCAGGCAGGCGCAGAAGGCAGCAGATCTGTTATCGTCATGGCGGATGAGGTGTCGCGGGCGCAGACCGCGCAGCCAGGAGGAGACACGATATTTGGCAAAATCATCCGTAAAGAGATTCCTGCCAGCATAATTTATGAAGACGATCAGGTGCGATCTTTGCTGTTTTTACAGCGATAGCAATACTGCGCCTGCTCTGCAGCGTTCCAATGCGCTTCAGACTCGATCATACTCATCGAGTGGCTCATCAAAGTTAAAGACGCGTTTGCAAATCCATTTCGTGTTCTGCTGACAGATATAAGTTTGTATCAGTGAAATGTGATTTTGTGCTCAATATTTGGCAATGTGCCAGATGTCAGTGCTAGTTCACATGTTCTGCACTTGTAACTAAGAGAATGTAATGGTTCTGCAATCTGCACATTGAACAGCGATTAACGGAGACCCCGCTGCAAAATAACGTGAACGCTTTCAGTTGCACGGCCGTTATACTACTTTTACACTTATTTATTCAATACACCCAGTTGTTAAATGAATAATACAATCTATCTTTCTCTCTGTCTGTGTAATGAATGAACAGTGCATTGCCTTCAATGATGTGGCCCCTCAGGCTCCCACTCACATATTGGTGGTCCCCAGAAAGCCCATCACTCAGATCTCCAAAGTAGAGGATGCAGATAAAGAGGTCAGTGTTAAACTTTGTGTGTTGTGTTTACAGGTTCTGACATCGTCATTGTGGTGACGACTGCGGTCCAGTTAGGGTGACCACCATCAAACAAACCAAATGTGGGACAATTATGGCTCGTTTCCACTGAGGGGTAGGGTACGGTACAGTACGGGTCGGGTACACCATGATCAGGTTTGCGTTTCCACCGCCAACAGTATCCTTACTTGATAGGCGTGGTATGCTGGAAATAAGCGATCGACGTCATGTTCGCGCGAAGAAAGCAACATAGTAAACAACAATAGATGACAGACAGCAGATCTTGTTCTTGCTTCTAGGCATGTTTGTCACTAGAAACAAGCGCTGGCATTGGGCGTTTCCAAGAAGCCAACGTCGACTCAGGAGAATGATCCCGAGGACGCGAGTCCAGTAATTCTGTTAATGGAACAGTGCGTTCTTGAACGCGGCACTCTGTTCGCTCTGGCTATGCGACTCGGTTATCTCTGTATGTTCATTTTAGGCAACAATAAAACGAAATTTGTTATATAACACCACTCTGCTTCTTTTCGATTTCATTTCAATGAATTTTAAACATTCTAAAGCACAAAAATGTGGTTCAGGCAAAGCATAGCCTATTGATTATAGGCTATTCACTGCATGTAGCCTATACGTTATATTTATAACAAAACTAAATATTAAACAACCTTGCTTTGTTTTTGTTTAAATTTAAAAATATTAAACATTCCAGGCAATATGTAATGAGCTGTCTAGCTGTGTAATGTATTAGGCTATCGCATTGGTACAAATGTTGCAATAAACAACATTACAGATGATCTTGTAATAAAATTAAAAAAATGACAAAACTATCTCTTTTTGTTGAATTTCTGTTTTATCAATAATAGCCATTATAAAAGTATAAATAAAACGTACAACAAGATATACAGTAAAGCTTAAATAACATCAAGAAACAATTCAGTCAGTCAAATATACAAATTCAGCGCTCAAAGATATGAAACTTCACGTAGCCTTCTGCCAAAACTATTGGCCAGGGAACGAATTATAGATTCACGAGACCAAAGATCACCTGTTAGGTTTATACAAGACGAACTATATCTCATGTTTAACCACTACAGAGAAATCCGAGTCAGCGGCAAACATCAGAACGACTAGCCAAAGAAAGGCTGTTTCAGGCGGGGAACACGAGCGCGAGCGTCCGGTGATCGCTTGGAATGGATCTCAGTCAAATTATCATAAATCTATAAATAAACCACACATTTGTGCTTTAAAAAACTACTTTCTCGCCTGAAAAACTCGTAAAACTACATTTTGTGACACAATAACAGTAGTATTATATTTCAACTGTATGCTTCTAATGCCCTTGCAGCACGTGCGAGTGACGATACTCCACCAATCAGCGTTCTGCAGTGAGTCTAGCTCCACCTTTTAGTACCCTTTCACTGTGCTAGGTACCCCAACGGAAGGGTACCCAAAAAGTGGTACGGTTCGGCTTTTTGGTACCATTCACCACTTTTGACAGTGGAAACGCAAATAATTGCGAACCGAACTGTACCGTACCACTCAGTGGAAACGAGCCATTATAAGTTTGTGTGGGACAATGTGGAACATGTTACTAAAACATACCCTGAAACTGTTATATAATGTCTATCTAACTTGATAAAAACATTTATATTCTGCCTTTCAGCTGATAAAAATGATTTGTTCTTTAGTCCCTTCCAGAAAAAAAATCTTTTTTCTCCAAAAAAAGTCATTTAAATTCATCATCAATGAGCCCAAAGGCAGCAGGAATCATGTATATAAATATTTTAGAAACAGTTCTGCCCAAGTCCAACAAAAATCCAACAAAATAAACAATGAACAAAAATAAAATATAAAACAACATGAAATTAGATAGACAGTCATGTATTAATTTTTAGAAAGGATGTGAATTAAAACAACCACTGCAGGTTAAACAACAACAGATAAATTCCGTTAAATTAAAATTTTAATTTACCTAATTATCCATTTGTTTTCCGACAGGGAACATATATGAAACGAATCACCGGTCCACATTTTGATTGACAGCCGTCACAACCAACGAGTGACCGTGTTTACTCCTCTCTTTTCAACCATTGGATAGTGTATAGCTAAAACACAGCTGTTGTATTTGTACTTATGATGAAGCGCTGAAAACTACGCAGCAAAAGTAATAAGTAGAATGCTTTCTTAAAAAAGGCAAAAGAACACATGCACGTTCTCTAAATATGATATTAAAAACTAATAGACTGATGAAAATGCGGGACACTTCCTCAATATGCGACGTGCGGGACAAGAGGTGAAAATGCTGTGCAGTACAACGCAAAGCGGGACGGGTGGTCACCCTAGGTCCAGTGGTTCCCCACGAAAAAAAGGGGTTAATAAACATACTAAATTATGTTGTTTTTTTGTTTTTTTGTCTGATGGGTAGTTTAGGGGTCTGGTTAGTGTAAGGGGAGAGAATATACAGTTTGTAGTACTGTATAAAAACCATTATGTTTATGGAATGTGATAGTGGACAAAGATAGTGGACCAGACAAAAAAATAAATAAATTAAACGTGACCAGTGAATTAAAAAAAGGAGGGTAAATATTCGGGATAGCTTTTCTCAGGTGGGTAGAGCTAATGAAGGTGAAAGACTTTGAAAGGGACGCTGAAGTCCTGCTTCTCGACAGGGAAGTCAATGTTATGGTCTAAATTACAACCTTTTTTTCATTGCTTGGTTGTGTAATTCATTATATAGGGAGGCACAACAGTAGATAAACTCAGTGAAGTGCTATTGGAAGACGTCGTAGCTTCTTGGCACATAAAGGTTGTCGTAATTGCACAGTTCATTTGAATGCAAAATACAATTTCACCACTAGATGGGAGACATTCCTACACAGTGTACCTTTAAGTTTTTTTTACCTGTAAATATTCACATATAGAAGATGGGATTGGCAGTTACAGCTATTTCCTGTGATTCTCTGATTGGCAGATTGAAGATTCTCTTCATAATTATGCAGTTTTTAAGGTTGTATTATGGTCTATCTTTGTAACTCATGTCTTAGGTTTATTTATTTTTAATTAAGTGACCCTTTTTGAAACGTGTGCCACCTGAGCAGACCGTGTGTGTGTGTGTGTGTGATGTGGTCCTCTGCAGCTGCTGGGACACCTGATGCTGGTGGCTAAGAAGTGTGCAGATCAGGAGGGCTTAACCCAGGGATACCGGCTGGTGCTCAACGAGGGGCCCGACGGGGGCCAGTCCGTGTACCACATGCACATCCACGTGCTGGGCGGCCGGCAGCTGGGCTGGCCTCCTGGGTAACATCTCTACAGATGCTCCTGTCACTGTTCGCCATCACTGAGGTGAAGTGTTGATGTCATGCAAGAATCCATCCAGAAAACAACCGAAACCATGCTCTGTCTGAGCGCGACAATAAAAAACATTCAATGTCACCGTTTGAATTGTCATTATTTTAGTCTTGTCTGTTCAGAGATATTGTGTGTGTTTTTGATTGAATGACTTTTGAATGTCATGACATGGTTAACATTAAGAAATAAAAAGGGTTTTAAAGTGTGTGAGAAAGCAGTGGGCATAGAAATAAAGGTTGTTTTGAATAGTTCCCTGATGAGCCTCTGAAGAACTGCAATGGTGAGTGAGCTGAGATGAATCTTTTACATGAATAACGCCAGCATAGAAACAAGGATCAAAGCCATCTTTTTACGTGTCAAATCTGTATTATATCTTCCTTGGGTTCTGATTTAGACAATTGTGCTTCTCCCTCCCTTGAATCCTTTTAATTACTAATGCGATTAAAAGATGTTCACTGATGGAGCTTCACCACA